TCCCCACCCCACCTATACCCCCTCAAACCTCCTCTTGCCACCACCCAGCCTCATCAGCTGCTTCTGATTTCAAGCATTCAGGGAAGAATTCCTCTTCTGACACCAAATGAGACTGCCTGCCTGGCTCCAAGTTCAAGTTCAAATTGAAGCACAGCTCCTATTTGCTGGGCAGCCAGGCCGTCCTCCCAAGAATCAGGTACTTTTTCCAAGTGAAGCAACTGGAAGCACAGAGAGGCTGGGTTATTTTCCCAAGACCACACAGCCAGGATGTGAGTGCCAGTATCATAAAACAGTAACTAGACATACAAAGCCATCACCTGACTGGAAATGCTCTAAATTCTGGGTCTCCCTGAGACTGAATTTCCTCACCACCCCCAAAACTCTCCAGCGGACTCAGCTACAGATCAAAGTCACGTTCGATGCCACAAATGTCGCCTCTGACACCACCCCTTTCAGAACAGTGGAAGTTGGGACCCTCCATTTCTCTCTTCCAAAGGCCTTTCCTCTAGACCAGAACCTCCTGGCCCTCAATGTGCGGCATCAGTATTCACCCCTAAAGGCCCAGACCACACCCATTCCATGGCCCAGGGGAGGTCCTCCTGGGCTGACCCTGCATCCCATCCTCCCCGTGGCCACCAGGAAGCCCCTCCCCATTGCCAGCAGCGTCCACATGCTCTGCTCAGTGCCGGCCAGCGAGGGGCCCTGCACCAGGATCCCGCACGCTGGGCCCTCTGAGCTCCGCTCAGCGCGGGCAATCAGCAGGCTTCCTCTGTCTTACCCTTGTGTTGCCGGCTACGCTCTCCAGGCCACTTTCACAATAGCCTGCACAACGTCAGCGGTCAAAATCCACACTCCGCGTGTAATTTACACCCGCCGACAGGCACAACTACGCACACCCATGCACGCGGGCAGCCTGGAGGGCCAGGCGAGGAAACGAAAACACCCAGTGTCTTCGTCAAACATTTTCCTTTAATGTGACATTCTGAGGCCAGGAATAAAACCTGGAGGACAGGAGATCTGCACCCTAAAGCATGAGTTGTCATGTGCTGTAAAATCCCAATACCTAGGCCCCCACTCGCGGCCGTCTCTGACCGTGACTGTCGCCCAAACAGAAGGAAAGCCCCTGAAGGAGAACCCATTCCTCGCTCATGCCCCGGTCCCTCTGGATTAAGAAACATGCACAGATATCCCCCACATTTCCACCCCGAATTTCCAGAAAGCCACCTTGGTGGCAAACCCTTGCAATGTTCTCAGAAGCTCCTGGATTTCTTCTCAACTCAACCCAAAACTTCTAGGAAACTCTCTTTGTCCCTTCCCACCCCAACTTCTAGTGACTCCGGGGAAGAAAGCCACAGAAGCCCCACGCAGTCCCCAGAACCAGCCAGTCAATGAGCAGGAAGCACGTGGGGTAGGAACCGCTCTTAGAGAAACATGGAACCCGACGGTCACCCTCACACACAGAGCAAGAGCCCCAGCCCATCCCTTCTGTGTACTCTGGAAGCTTCCTGCTCCCTGCAGACTGCTGCTGTTTTTAGCCCGTCCCACATAATTGGGAAAACCAGGTGTACACACAGGACACCTGGAGCAAAAGCAGGACACAATCTCAGCCCCTGGGTCCCCTGAGCTGCTCCGTGTGACTGACTCCTGGACCCACACCCACCTGAGCCAGCAAGGACGGCTTTCTTCCTCACGCTTGGCATTCTCCAACTGAGTGACTTATGCAAGTGCCCTTTCCAGCTGGGAGACGAGACAGCTCTCACAAGACCAGGGACGGCTGCCCTGTGCCGCTGGGTGCCAGGGTCTCTGCAAGCTGGCTAGGAGTCTGCGGACCGGCCCCTGCCAGCAGCTCCCACAGGGACAGGCTGTGGGGCTAATCCACCAGGTCCAGCCCACGGGGGCCGGTGTCAGCTCTTCGCCATAGCTTCCAGCCCCCTCCCCCCTGGGCAGCCGCCTCCGGGAAGCCCTCTTACCCCAGGGCATCTCCTCTCCTCCGCCCTCTGGACAACCCCCCTCCGCGGATGTTTGCAGGAGGAACAGAATGTCCTCCAAAGGGACCGTACGCAGTGGTGCCTGGAGAGCAGAGGCCCCAACAGGGAGTCAGAACGTTGCTGCTCCTCTGCCTGGCAAAGAAATCGGCCCTCCCCGGGGGGTGGGAGGACCATCAGATGGTGGCAGGGTAGGGGAGGCAAACTTAGGCCTCAGGATGACCCGCCCTACTCCCTCTGGCCCAACGTGCAGACGGATGGACGCCAAGGGTGTGAACGGTGGAAGGGGCTACCACATTTTGCCCGATCACACACCCAGCGCCCCGCACAGTGCTTCTGAGTCCCGTCCATATGCCGTGTCCTTCCCCCGCCTCCCCGGGGAGGGCGTGGCCCGTGACCCCCATCGCACGGATGAGGAAGACAGGCGCAGAGCAACCAGGCCCCAGACATCATCCACCCCCGGTGACCAAAGGCGGCCCTGGGCAAGCTCCCCAATAAGGCGGGCACTTTTGTGTGACCTACCTTGCCGGGGGGGGGGGTAGTTGTGCCCACCCCTCACTCCTTCCCCAAATGTCACATGCACCCCAGCTCCAGACACCCCAAGCCGGCAGAGGCGGCAGCCATGCCTGCCCTCCTCCCAGAGCCGACCTCACCTCCCCAGCCAGCACCCTGGCTCGGCAGGGCTCACCCACAGACCGCAGCGACAGACACCAGATTCTGCTCCCTCCAGCCCGGAGGCCAGGCCCCAGGCCGGCTCTCCCAAGGCAGCACCACTGGGAAATAGCAAAGACACAAATGAAACAGAAATGCCCAACAGGGGAAAGACGGTTCAGTGGACAAACAACTTTCAGACACTGAAACTCGTGTTTTGGAAGCATATATACCTCCTGTAATTAAAAATAATGTCCAGTAAAATGCACAGTCGCACATGGAAAAGCAGTGGAAAAAGACCCATGAAATATGAAGACGGCCTCCAGACCGCCCTTGGGTTTTTCCTACACACAAAGCAGGGCTAGCTGCAAAATTTGCAAGGCTACCACCAAGCAAAACTGTGGGCCCCCCTGTCCAAAAGTGATTAAGCATTTCAAGTCAGCAACAACAGAGCCTTAAACCAAGCACAGGGCTCTTGTGAACTCGGGGCCCTGAGTGACGGCGCAGACTGGACCCCTGTGAGGTCAGTCCTGACACCACCTAGCCCTTGCCTCAGGGCCGCCACACATGCTGTTCCTTCTCACCATTCCTTGCCCTTCCTCCCTGTTAATCCTCCAGTCTCAGCCTGAGCGGTGTCTCCAGGGAAGGCCCTTCTCTGTACTTTCATCCCACTGCCCCCCATCCCCATCTGAGTCCCTCCTTTGTGCGGTTCTCACCCTGACCCAGTCTGAATGGGCTTTATTCATTCGTGTGCCTGCCGGCTTCCTGTCAGCCCCACCCCCACTAGCACATTTGCTCTAAGAAGGGCTGGGGGTGGGGGGGATATAGGGCAGCCACAGGCCAGTGTCAGTGACTGCTTTACTCTCCACGCCAGCCCCTGCCCAGCCCCTAACCGGGCCGCCGTCATTCCCCATGGATACGTGGGACTCAGTATACTTCACATTTTTCAGATTTGCCAGGATGAACTTTTTGTTTTTTGTGTTTTTTTTTTTTTAAGATTTATTTATGTGAGAGAGAGAGAGACTGAGAGAGAGAGGGAGAGCACAATTGGCAAGGAGGCGAGAGAGAGAGAGAGAGAGAGAGAGAGAGAAAGAGAGAGAGAGAATCTCAAGGAGATACCACAGTGAGTGCAGAGCCCGACGTGGGGCTCGATCCCAAGACCCTGAGATCCTGACCTGAGCCAAAACCAAGAGCTGGGGGCTCCACCCACTGAGCCACTGGTGCCCCCGAACATTTTGTTTTAGACCCGCGCTCACGGGGCCCCTGGAAGGCTCCATCCGCTGGGCGGCTGCCTTCCACTGGGGTCATGATCCCAGGATCCTGGGACGGAGCCCACAGTGGGCTCCTCGCTCAGTGGGCAGCCTGCTTCTTCCTCACCACTGCTTGTGCACTCTCGTGTGCTCTCTCCCTCAAATAAATAAATAAAATCTTTTTTAAAAAAAGTTAAAATAAGTAAATAAATAAACCTGTGCTCAAGTTCTGGTAACATTCCCTCCCCTGCGGCCCCCAGGTCCCCAGGGAAGCCCTGGCCTCCCTTTCCTTCCCTTCCCACAACGGTGGCTGGCCCAGGGGTGGCCGCTCCCTGACGCCTCTCACTAGCCCTCGCCAGCCGGGTCGGGGCCCCCTGCGGGGCCAGCCAGCTGCCCTGGGCCCGGGACATCCCTAGAGACGGCTGCGTCCTAGCCGCAGTCCTTTCCAGACGAGCATGCTCAGAAGCTGACACCCGGCAATGGAGAGCCCCAGACAGCGCCCCAGACGAGGGGGTGACACTTCACGAAAACAGAATCGTATGAGCGTCCTCGAAGAGCGAGGGCTAAGACCTCGGGAGGGGAACAAAGAGGCGGACGAACACGTGAAGCAAAGGAAAACCCGGTGCGTGGGGCGGGCCGGCGGCTGCCCGAAGCTTTCTCCCATCGAGCATGTGCCTCCGGCCCCAACTTCCAGGGGGCGAGATGGGACGCAAAGATAAGCACGAATCATAAATCCCATATCAATGCGGACGAAACCGCAGTTCCCGGGGCTGGATTGCGGGGCGCCTCCCGGCTCACGGGGTCCTCCCCCACGGACGTCATTCTTCCAGTCCCCACGGTTTCCGTGTGGCAGTTCGCGACAGCGAGCATCTGGGCCACCGTCACGGCATGCAGGCGGCCCCCTGCAAGCTCACCCGACGGACCAGAACCAGAGTCCCTGAGCCTGGTAACAGGCCCACCAGGCAGCAGAACCCAGATCAGACCCCAGTCCCAGCGGGTGGGAGCCCAGATCGCGTGAAACCCTCACTGCGGGCAGGACGGGGCGCTGCCCGGTGCCCACTCCCGACACCCCCCGCCCCCACCAGGCCAGCCCCCAGCCGGCGCCCCATCTCACCTGCCTTGCACGTCTTGCCGTTGTCGTGGAGCTGCACACCGGTGGGGCAGGCGCACGTGTAGAAAGGCTCCCTTGGGGACAGCAAGCACAGGTGGGAGCAGCCGCCGTTGTCCTCTGCACACCGCGTGTGGACTGGGGAAGACAGGGCAGAGTGAGGGAATGCTCGAGCCACAGGGCCCTTGACCCCACTCCCGCCCCACGCACCAGTCCTGTTGGGGGCATCCTCCCTGCTCTGCACCTCCCACTCTTCTACAGTCAGAAATCCACTCTTCCTCAGGGCGCCTCAAACAACACCTCCTCCATGAAGGCCACCCTTGGCCTTCCCCAACAGGATCTCAGGACCTGCCCGTGCAGTATGGACTGGAGGGTCCTGGACCAGAGGCCTGTCTAATCTCAGTGACGTGCTTGGACCCCATGGGATCGGCACAAGCACTTGGTGGCCAGGTCTGGACGCTGCTGGTGCTGCTGGCAAGCCTTTGCACTCTCCCAAGCCCGTCCACATCCAACACCAACAGACCTGAACACTGCCGGCATTTCACTCTGCCCGGAGCAGGCTGGGGGGTGGTACCCCGAAATGTAGACTATGAACCACCCCCGTCAACTGGAGATTTCTGGGGTGGTGTCTCTCCTCTCCCTCATGCTGCCTTCCGGGTGTGGGCTGCCCCAAGCGTGGATGCATTTGTTGTTTCTCAACAAAACACAATTGCCAAGAACCCCACCTTGCCTTTGGCACTGACAACGGTTGCCCCCTTCGGGCCCCTCACTGTTAAGTTCAAAGCGAGAAACTTCTACAGCACCCTGGTTCCCAAGGACCCTGCTGGCTGCCTGTCACCGGAGCCCTGAGCCCACTCATCACCTACAAGGACCCCAGCCACCACCCTCTGGGGACCCCAGGTGAGAGCCTTAATTTATAACAGATCATTCATCGCGGACTATGTAACTTCTGGAAAAAAGCAACCTTCCTTGGGAGTCCCTTTGCCACCTGCACAGAGAGGACAGCTGCAGTGGGGGTCCCCACCTGCCGCTGCCCCCCAGCCTAGCCCTGCACTCTGAAAACACCTCCCTCCCCTCTACCAGCACCTCCTCTCTGCCGCCACTGAGGTCGGCGCCCCTAGCCTGGGGGCCTCAGCCGAGGGAAGCCACCAGCCACCCCCAGCGCAGCACTTACAGTAAGGCTGCCGCTCCGGGCTGAGCACTTGAATGTCCATGGGCGAGTAGAGGGCACTAAGGATCTCCTTCCTCTTCTCTCCAGTCCTCTTGTTACAGGCGTGGATGGAGCGGGTCTGCCAGTCCGTCCAGTAGAGAGTGTCCCCGGAGAGCGTCAGGGCAAAGGGGTGTGTCAGGCTGCCCTCCACGACCTTCTGCCTGCAGGGGCGTGAGGGCAGGGCGAGGAGCCATCAGCAGATTCCCCACAGCCCTGCACACTCCCAGCTTTGAAATACCCTCCCCGGTCACTGTGGACCCACTCACATCACACAGGACAATAGGACACAGTGGGGCAGGCATCCTGGGAACTGTCCCAGTGCGTGGGGGGCACTTCCCACATGCCGCCAGCCCCCTGCCGTCCCTCCCAGAGACACGGGCCTCCCCTCCGGACCTGTTTCTAGAACAGTGGCTGGTGGCAAAGTGCTTCCCAGGGGAAAAAGGAGGAAGAAAAATGGCAAGGGGGAAGCCGCAGCTGACGGGACAAGGAACTGGAGACTAGCGCACCTGCTCTGCCCTGATGTTTCGACAGCTTACAAATTGGACCAAATGTGCCTGCTCGTTGCTGTAATTTATAGGATCAGGCTACACTGAATTTGATAACAATGCAAGGGAAAGCAGCTCTTTTCTATGTATTTGCAACGTTCAGCAAACGAGAACTAGTTTTTAATGAGATTATGGATGCTGGTTATGATTCAGAATTTGACACCTGGTAGCGTGGGTGATTATCCAGTTTAATGACCCTCCCTGCCTCCAGGCTCCTTGGTGGGGGATGGCTGCAGGGGGCTGGTCCCCAGCACCACCACCGTCCCCCCCAGCACCGCACCGTGGAGATGGCAACACGTACAAGGTGTTACTAAACAACTTAAAGCCACATTCCCTGCTCTTCCCGGATCTGACCCAATGTTGCCCCCTTTTTGTCTTCTTGACATCACCTTTTAAGATCTTTTTTTTTTTTCAAGATTTTATTTATTTGAGAGAGAGACAGTGAGAGAGAACACAAGAGGGGAGAGGGTGAGAGGGAGAAGCAGACTCCGCACAGAGCCGGGGGCCCAATGTGGGACTCGATCCCAGGACTCCAGGACCATGACCTGAGCCGAAAGCAGCCACCCTACCAACTGCCACCCAGCCGCCCACCTTTAAAGATTCTTATGTATTTGTCAGAGAGACAGCACAAGCAGGAGGAACAGTAGGCAGAGGGAGAAGCAGGCTCCCCGCTGAGCAGGGAGTCCCACGTGGGACTCCATTCGGCGACTCCAGGACCATGACCTGCGCCAAAGGCAGACACTTAACTGACTGAACCACCCAGGCATCCTCTTGATGTTACTTTTTAAAATAAACTATTGAGAGAAACGCATGTAACACAGAATTAACCATTTTGATAAGTGAATAATTCCGTGCTACACAGCACGCTTAGAATGTTACTCAACTATAGCCTCCATCTACTTCCCAACCATTCCCGTTATCCTCAGGAGAACCCTGAGCCCACTCAGCTGTCACCCCTCATATCCCCTCCATCCCAGTCCCACTATCACTATCACCATCACCACCGTCACCATCATTGTCACCTTAATCGTCACCATCACCACCGTCACCATCATTGTCACCTTAATCGTCACCATCACCACCAACATTGTCATCACCACCACGATCGCCATCACCACCATCGTCACCATAATCATCATCACCATAATCACCACCATCATCGTCACCACAGTCACCATCATCACCATAATCATCACCATCACCACCATTGTCACCACAGTCACCATCATCACCATCACCACATCGTCACCATCAACACCATCATCGTCACCATCACTGCATCACCATCACCATCACTGCCATCACCACCATCACCACCACCATCATCGTCACCATCACTGCATCACCATCACTGCCATCACCACCACCATTGTCACCATCATCTCAACCATCGTCACCATCATCACCATCACCATCATCGTCTTCACCACCATCACCATTATCACCACCACCACCATTATCATGTCTTAAGTGCCACCACCATCCTTGCTGTCCTATCACGATCCCTCCACCAGGCAACCCCAGACTGCAGCCTTTCCAGCCTCCAACACTCCCTTCACAATGGCCAGGGTCACTCAGCTTCCCAAGGACCACATCTCCCCAGGCTGCCACACTTTCCAAGTCTCCACCCAGGCCCCAGGCCAGTCTCTGCTCACAGAGACAATGGGCTAGAATGTTTCAAACCAGCTGGACATGGTCAGCAGAGGTCAAGGAGGAACTGAGGCCTCCTGCCAACAGCCATCAGAGTGGTCCTCCAGCCTCGGTCAAGCCGTCAGATGACAACAGCCCCTGCCAGGAGCTCGACTGTAACCACAAGGCACACTCTGAGCTAAGTCAGCTAAACCACTCCTAATTCCTGACACCCTTTCCCCACAAGAAAAAACCCTGTTTGCTGATTTAAGTGGCCAGGCTTGGGGGTAGTTTGTTACACAGCAACAGATAAACTAGTATGCAGGCCTGGATAAAACGTGGCAAACTTGCTAACACCCTCAGATCTGTCAGCCTCGTCATCTGCCTGTATGTGCAGAGATCCAACCGAGTCCTCCCCATGCCACATGACTGCAGCCCACAACACCTGCGCCCACTAACTCCCCGCCTGGTTCGGGAGCTCCACCAGGCAGGAGCAGGGTCTGTCCTCCCAGGAAGATTCCCCAAGACCCAGCACAAATTCAATAAATGAAAATAAACAAAGCCCTGTGCACAGAAGGGATGTCCCTGTGTTTATAGCATGACGACGCAGAGGGCTGTTAAGCTAAGCTGACCAGAAAGCTCTACAAGCAATTACCTAACGAGTGAAAAACCCTTCATAGCTCACTCATTTAACTCATTTTACTGAGTATTAGGTGTGAGGCCCTCTGACAAGACTGCGGAATGCAGTGAACCCCAAGACCAGCCCTACTCCTGCCCTCAGGACGCGTACTTGGTGACGGGAGGAAGGGGGTACAGTCTACTCTTTACATCCCTGCTGGACCCCTGGGTTTTAGGTCCATAATCCCTTCTCCACCGTTCTGAAACCCAAAACAACTTTGAAAATGGCAAGATTTCTGTGACTCATTTGGTGCAAAACCTGTGTGTGGATGTGGGGCTGTTTTTCGTCTTCTGACCCCGCTTGTAATGACTATTCTGTGTTTTGCCATGGACACAGTCACATGGCAGATGGCAGGTGCCCCCCCAGACCTCGCTCGTGGTGGAGTCTGACGCCCTGTGTGCACTCTACCACTGTGTCAAGTTCTGAAGAGTCCAGAACTCCTCGGGCCCCCAGGGTTTCAGATACGAGACCCCGGGTCTGAGTTAAGAAGGGTCACCTACCAACACGCAGCCTGGACCTTGGCAGGGGGCTGGGGAGCACAGGGAAATGTGGGAACCCCCGCGCGGGCGGGCACTTACCGGAACGAGCCATCCAGGTTGGCACGGTGGATGAAGCTGAGCTTGGCGTCGGCCCAGTACAGCTTCTGCTCCTCCAAGTCGATGGTCAGCCCGTTGGGCCAGTAGATGTCGGAGTCCACGATGATTTTCCGGGTACTGCCGTCCATGCCTGCCCGCTCGATTCGAGGTGTCTCGCCCCAGTCTGTCCAGTACATGTACCTAACGAGGGGGCAGAGCACGAGCAGGGAAGGCTAGCCCGGGGCTGCTTTGTGTCTGTCTTCTGTCTACACGAATGCAAACGTGTTAGACAAAGACCGAGAAATCATCCCGAAACTTGCCCACTAGAGGTAACCAGTGCTTCGGGGCTGGGCTAGTCTCGCTTCCGATTTGACTCCTAAGCAGTTAGGAACATATTAATTCTTAAACCAAGTTGGCGAACCAAAATATGCTATTCCAACTTGTCCCCGGCGATCCCCTCTGAGTACTCCCTCTTTCTACTAATAGAAAACCTCTTTGTTCTCTTAATGGCGATAGGATATCGTAAATTAGTTACGTGACACCACGTCTGACGTTTGAGTTCTTTCTGATTTTTTTGCTGCTACGAAAATGCTGCAAATGAACTGCTAAAGCCAATTAAAAATATGTAGGGTGGGATAGTGTTTGGCACATTAAAAAAATGAACCATTAAGCCAAGGAGGAATCTTAGATGTTTATTACTAAGAGAAAGAGCCAGTCTGGAAGGGTTACCTACATTGTGACTCCAACCACAGGACATTCTGGAAAATGCAGAACTACAGAGACTAGAAAAAGATGAGGGGCTGCCCAGGGGTTTTGTTTAACAACAACAAAAAAATAGAGTCTATTAAAAAAAACCCACACAGGTGGGCGTGACTGCAGTTCTGCCCGGAGGGGCTTGTGGGTGATTCACCACTGCCCTTCCACACCCTCCAGCCTCCAGGAAGGGGCAGGCCCCTCACATCCTGAAGCCACCCCCCGTCCTGAAAGGCTTCCTTATGTGATAGCCCACCAAGTAAGTGGACACAATGTGAGGTGACACCAGGCATCTGGGGTGACAGGTTCAAACCCTGCCAGCACCCAGAGAACACGTCTAAGCTCTCCGGGGAGGCAAAAACCCAGCGCGCTCCTCGAAGCTGGGCTTGGGTTCCTGGGGGCAGCTCAGAGGAACGACACCTGCCTGGAGGACACGGGCCCCTCGGGTTCCGGTCGGACATGGATGAGCCATGGGACACGTGGGTGGCAGACCTGCTTTATTTGGTCCACCTGTGTCTCCCTGCTGACAAGGAGGACAGTGTCCAGTTTCCCTTGGAGAAGCCCCACTCCCACGAGTGGTCTTTCCCCACGGCGCAGTCTCTCCCCACTGCCCTCCTCCCAGGGCGGGTGGGCATGGGTGGGTCATGGCTAATCAGCAAATCCCATAACCCTTGGCCTCAGGGACTGCTTTAAAGACCGGCAGCTCGTCCATGCCGGGCCACCGGGAGTCTGCCTTGAACCCTGACCCAGGAAGGCAGGGAGCTCCCCGCCCCACCTATGCCACCCGTGGGAGGCCCGCGGATAGTGCAAAGCCAGCGGGGGGAGACCGTGCACTGTCCCTTCTCGGGCATCCTAGTTCCCAGCCCACAGACCCTCTCTTCGCTTCGAGCTGCTTCTCTCGGACCTGGCAAGTCCCCCACCTCTCTGGGCTCTACTTCTTCCCAGGTGGGATCTCCTCCCCTCTCAGCAAATTCTGAGCTGCTGATGTGGCCAGGGGCCGGCGCACTCGCCGGGGGCATGGGGACAAGCAGCCCCACCTGCCTCTCAGGGGTGCTCATCCAGCGGGCCCCCTGTGGCCACGGGAGGTGTGGGTGCCGGAGGGGCCACCCCACGGGTGAGGCCATACAGCCTTCCTGGGGGGCCGTCATTCTGAGCCGATGCCAGGACGATCTGCTGGAGGAGCTGGAACAGGTCCCTGAGCCACGCCAAAGGCAGCCTCCTGCCCACGTGGCAGCGAGGTTCCTGTCACCGAGCTCCCCTGCTTTCCAACCCAAGTGGGGACAGACAGGTGAAGAAAGCACCCGCACGCAGAACTCCTCTCCCAGGGGCGTCTCTTACACTCTCTCCTCTGCAGCTAGTGAGCACTTGGCTGACACAGGGGGAGCAGGAATCGCTCTTCCCACTGGACAGATGGGAAAACTGAGGCTCTGGAAGGCGGACCTGCCCCAGGCACGTGCCAGCGGTTCCGGGAGCACTGCATGGCTCTCTGGGTGAGGCCAGGGCGGGGCCGTCGGGGGACTGTCCCCTGAGCCTGCAGGCCCAGGACGTTGGCGTGCTTTTCCCAGCAGCCCCGGGCGGGCAGGTGCTGTCCGCCAGCTCAGCAAAGGCTCCCACTGGCCTGCTGCAGACGCCCTCCTTCCCAGTGCCTGTCCCGCCCCCCAGCAGCCTGAAAGGAGCCAGTCCTCCCACCATCCACCAGGAAAATATCAGGAGAATCGATCTCAGAGCCATCCGCTGATAACCTCCCTAGATGCTGTCCTGCAGCCGCGAGAAATGCCAGAAAATGTGAAGGCTCTGGACCTCTGCAAGGAGCATAATTCAAATTCCTTCCCTGGGGTTTCATAACAGAGGCCCGCTGGTTTCCTTAAATGGGGAATTTGCGAGCCACTCCGTTCCCAGAGACTCGCTGGCATGGATGTGCTTTTGTAAAATTTTGAACGCTGCCGCAGGCCCAGCCCGGTTCCACGGGGGAATCCACTTCCGAAGGAAAGCACAGGAAAGCACGGCTGCCTGGTGTTTGTGCCCTCGTGGGTCCCGGCTGTGTGTTATTTTAAGGAAGGACCATTTTGCATTTTAAAGAAGGGGTTGGGTTTCAGCCTGGCTTTAGCTTGAGACGGGAGCGACTGCAGCCCCTCCTGGCTAATGCCGGCCTGGGCCTCCCCTCAATCACTGGGGTGGTGTCTCTCCGGCTCCCGGTACTGGACTCCCAGTACTTGGGGCCAGAGGGCCCTCCCCAGGTCCGGCTCTGCCGCCTCCGGGGGCCCTTGACCCTGGGGAGGGTGGTGGCTTCCCTTAACCCTGTCTGGATGCTTGCTTTGCTACCTGTGCCCAAGGAGACAGACGGGCATCTCAAACCTTCACCACAGGGGAAGTGTGGGGGAAGGCCAGTTCGGAAGTCCTTCCCAGGGCATCAACACCAAAGTCAACTTTGCCCCAGGGGCTGGGGGTGTTGGAAAGAATTCAGAGGCAAGAACAGAAAGGATTTCAAACATTTAGTAAGAAAAGCTCAAGCTAGAGAATGACTGACTCCCAGTGATGGTACAAGCAAGGCCAGCCTGGACATGAACATGGAGAAGATCGCTCCCCACCAAGCGCCAAGCATCTCCCACCAAGCACCGAGCACCTCCCCAACCAGGAACCCAGAGCCTTCCTGCTGAGCACAAACCCCTCCCAACCAACCAATGGTTGGTCACAAGGGAGAGGTCATGAGGAAGAAAGAAGACACATGGGCACAGACATGGAGACTGTATTTGGGGTGGTAAGCAAGGGGCATCTTTAGTGTTTCAACAACTAAGACTCACTGAAGCTGCTAACTGTTCTTGGCGTTTTCTGCATGACATGGGACACGGTCCCACCCTGTACAGATGGGGACACTGAGGCACAGGACAGCAGTGTGCGGCCCTTGCTTCTTGCCTTTGTCTCTAACCCACATGCAGAGAACCAGCAAACCTGTGTGGTTCTGATCCCGAATCTGGCCACTTCTCACCCACAGCCCACTAGCTTCCTGATCCACGCCCCCACCTTACATCACCAGATCATAGTGATAGCCGCAAAAGACCCCCGGCTCCCACCCCAAAGTCCACCCTCACTCCAACGGCCAGAGGGACCCCCCCAGCAACTCTTCCACTCTAAACAGGACCTACCCTTTCCCCTGCTCTGTGTCCTCCATTCTCCTCTTCACTTCACTACAGCCCCACCAACAGGCCAAGCCTCCTCCTACCCCAGGGCCTTTGCACTAGCCACTTACACTGCCTGGAATATTCATCCCCTGGATGGCCACATGGCTCTCACTCTCATCGGCTTTAGGTCTCTGCTCAAATATCATTCCCTTGTTCTTAGTCTCCTAACCTACGACGGGAAGCCCCTTGCTTCACCCTCTTTGTCCTCAGGCCCCATGTTATTCTCCTCCGGGGCACACATCCCTCTGGGACATACTATCTGCTTATGGTCTTCTCCCTCCAGTGCACTGCAAGGGCCTCGAGGCAGCACCCCTTAGCCTCTCCCATCACTGACAATTTCCCCTCTTAGCCGGGGAGACTCAGCCCATGCCAACCACCACCTCCTGAAGGATGGTTGGATTCCAGGAGTCCTGGGGTCACCCCACAGTACAGGAGAGGTCAGAAATAGGGAATATCCTGGAAGGTCAGTCTGGCCCCTGGCAGCTTGGCCTGCTTGGAAGTGGGGGCAAGAGGGGCCTGAGGGAAGTCACTGTCGCGTTTGGCCCCCAGGCGGCTGGGGCTGGGGGGCTCCGCTGGGGTAGACGCACCAGGCCTGTCTGGTCTGACTCCTGGGCGATAAACCCCAGACCATCCCTGACCTCGTGTGTATGTGCATGGAGGACACGAGAGCCAGGGGGTGCGTTTGCTAAGTCAGCACACTGTCAGGTGGGGTACTCGCCCACCACAGCACCCCTTCCCCCTGTTCCCCAGCTATCCAAACACCAGCCTCGGCGAGACAGGCCTCCACCTCCTGGCCCCTGTTCCACCCACCTGGGGCGGGCTGACCAGGAAGAGAAGGCACCGCCAGGACCAGGGCAAGCAGGTGGCATCGGGAACAGAACCCAGGGGTCCTACTGTGTTCCTGTTCAAGATGTTAGGGAGCCATCCACCTCTGACAACCGAACCAGCAGAGAACCAGACACACACAGCCGTGGGTCAGCTGCCGCCACCAGGTAGCCGGACACCTGCCACCCAGGTAAGGCTGTATCACTCCCAGGCTATGGGAGGAGGGGAACGAGGGCGGAGGGGTGACAGAGCAAACTGCTCCCATTCGGGAAAGTCTAGAATGGGCCCGGCCAGGCTGGGCTGTGCCATCAGCCACCTCCCCATGATCTGTCCCTCCCAGCCTTCAAACCCCAGGATGTTCCTAGCTTCACTGCCGCTCCCACAGTCCCTCCTGGGACTCAGGGCTGGGCCCTGAGCCTTCATGGGTCACGGTGAGCTCAGCTAGATGGGGGAGCAGAGGAGAGCAGAGGGCTTCCGGAAGAGGCCAGAGAGACAATCCGCCCGGCCAGTTCCACTTCTGGACAAGGACCTCCACCTTTTATACCGTTTTCAGCGAATGTCGTTAGAAAGGTGTGGAAGGCACAGATTCAGCTTGCAGGAGGGTCTCGGACACCAACACACACACAGCAGAGGCCTCGTGATTCACATCAGGAGCCTTGGATGCAGCAGGTTTCAAACAGAAACCAAAGCATGGCCTTTCAAGGGGAAATGGTTCCCAACACCAGGTTCCAAAAGGCAAACTCCTTTCAAGATGGCCAGGTTTGCTCTGAAAAAGCTGCTTGGGCTTAAGTCAATTCAAGAGGGAAACCAGGGCCCCTCGGACCCCCCGCCAAGAAGAAAGGCAGCTGGGCTTACCCGTGAGCGGGGTCCAAGGCGATGGCCCGTGGCTGGTCGAGGTCCTGCCAGAAGAGGACCTTACGCGACGTCCCGTTGAGGTCGGCCACCTCGATGCGGTTGGTCTCTGAGTCCGTCCAGTACAACTTCTTGCCGACCCAGTCGCACGCCAGGCCGTCAGGTGACACCAGGCCGGAGATGACCACGTTCTGCACAGCGACCCCCGTCTGGTTCAGGTAGGTCTGCTTGATGGCCTCCTCGCTCACGTCCGTCCAGTACACGGCTCCCTTGGAGAACTGGAAGTCCACGGCAGCCGCGTCCTCCAGGCCGCTGACCACGATGGTGGACTCCAGCTTGACTCCGCCAGCGTCCACCAGCCGCACGTCCCGGCGGTTGGCGAACAGCAGGAGAGGCGAGGCTGCGGGGGGCAGGGGGAAGCGATCGGTGAGGACTGGCCCTGAGTCAGGATCCCACGGCCCGGCATAGGGGACCACGGGCCCCGAGAGCTCCTGGCCCCCGCCCCCCCACCCGGCCCCTCTGCTCCTTCCTCCCGCTCCCCTGGGCTCGGGCAGGCAGTCCAGGGGACTCTTCCTGCCACGCCCCTGCCACGCCTGCCCCCTCACGCCAGGATGCCATGGCCAGGCCACCCGGCGCCTCTAAGGGCTACAGAGAAGTCACATCAGCCTGATGCAAGAAAAGGGGACATCGGGGCACAGTCCTGGCCGGGCCTCGGGATTCCCTTACAGTTCCCGGACCTGTTGTCCCAACCCAGGCCCTTCCTGGCACTGTGGCCTCAGTTTCCCACTCTGGGGTGCCACCCTTCAGCTCATACCCCTTCGACAGCACCCTATGCGGCGGCGGGGCTGAGAGACTGCCACGGCCAGCGCCGGGCTCCAACCCGGGCCACGCCCCTGAGGACATGGGGGACACAAGGAGGGCTGGAGGTCAGGGCCCCCTTGGGGCTCCACCACTGCCGCCAGCACCCGGCATCACGATGTCACAAGGAAGGGAGGGACGCTTGTAAAGATCAGACAGGGGCGGTGCAGCTACATGTGAGCCAGGCATCCCGACCTCCTGCGAGGAGACCGCCACAAAGGACGTCCGTCCCCGGACCTCCCTGCCCCTCCTTGCCCCAAGCAGACGCAGACGGAGAGGAAAAAACCTTCATCATCACAGGCCGCCAGGTCCCTGCAGGTCACCCACGACACACAGAGCCATGCAGGCTCCCCTGCAAGTGTCCTGGGGACCCCGTGAGGGGCCTGGGCTGTGGAGGGCGTTGTGCCCGCTCTGCGGATGGGGAAGAGGAGACCCGGAGGGGTGCCCGCACAGCCAGGTTCAACAGCACCCTCAAGGCCTCTGCACACTGGGCCACTTGTGCGGTGGGCACGTGGGTGCGTTTGGTCTGCAAACATACATTACTTTTCTGTGTATATTTACTTCACTAAAAAGTTTTTAGTCATTAAGAAAGGGGACTTTTCCTGTTTTCCCAGCTTCTCACAGGACTCGCTCCCAGCACACCGCGGGTCCACCTGCCCGGCTTAGAGCGCTCCTGGACCTGCCCAGGGCCGGCACACAGCAGGGGTCCTGCACATCCGGTTCTGGCACCCCACCTGCCTCCCGCACCCCAACTTTAAGGAGGTCCGTTACCTCTGCCCTGGGAGAAGTGGGAAGGAAAAGGGGGACTGTCCAGAAGGGTGTCGGTCCCCACCCCCAGCTAGAGGCCCCAGGGAGTGAAGAGGGACGCCCACCACCGACGGCCCGGCCAGAGGCTGGGCGCCATCTGTGACTCGGGAGCCGGCCAGCTCTAGAGCACAGTGGGGGAAGGGAGAGGATGCCCAGACTGGGGAGGGTCCAGAACCTTCAGAGGAAGAATCCATGAGGACCAGAGGCAGGGGGGCCTTCACTGCAAACAGGGTCATATATGGGGTCTGGAGGACACAGCAACACAGGCAGGCAAAGCCATTACCAACAGAGACACCCCACAGCACACCCAGTGTGACAGGACGGGCCTGGAGCACATTCCCATTAATCATTGCCATGCTGCTCCCGGTCACCCAGAGCAAGGATCACCAGACATCCTGTTCTGCCAGCGAGGTTTCCGGCGCCCAGACCCCTGAGGTTCCCTGCGGCCAGGTCCCCTGGCTCGTCCCCACTCACCAGCCAAGGCATGACCTGCCCGGGTAGGCGGAGCTGAAATTCCACACTGTGATTCTCTACCTTCTGAGGACCACAGGGCTCTCTGATAAACGGATCCTCTCCCCAGACACAGACCCCACACAGGTGCACACACAGTACTCTCACCAAGACCTCATGACGTCCTCCTACCAGGGAGGACCCAGCTCTGGCCCGACGACCCCTTGCTAAAGCAAGCAGAGGCCAGGTGTAGCTGCTGACTTCTAGAAGTTAGCATCTGTCTCAGGAGGGAGCAAGCTCCCCGTAGCCACAGGTATTCAGGCACTAGTAGGGGACTACAGGGGAGGGGCTGCAGGGGAGATGCACCAGGTGTGAGCATCATCAGGGGGCCGGCCCCACAGACAAGCAGTCTCCCATCAGCTGCTCTCCAGTGGGGAGGGGAAGCACTACAGAAGAGGTACCCCAGGGGTGGGCGGCGAGTGGCCAGAAACCCAAAACACCCTGCCCCACAGGAGAGGAGCCTGGGCTGGGGAGATGGAGGGGGAGGGAGGAAGGGAGCTCCTGGAAGCTGCCCCAGGCACAAAAAATCCTAGCTCTGCTCTGTACTTTCTCCCCAAACTGGAAAGACCACATTTTCACCATGGTTTACACTCTGGGCAGTTCAGGTGCACCCTTCAAAGGCCACAGATGTGGGGTTTTCAATTTCTTGTGCTTTTCCTAAAGTGAGGCTCTCGGGGAAGGGAGCCACCCTGGAGAGCCAGGGGGTGGGCGGCGGGCAAGGTTCTGTGTAGCCCGGGCGGGCGTGGCCCCACCAGGCAGGCCTTTTCCAGAAGGAGCCGCTCCTGCTTCTGGGATGTTTGGAAAGCATGGCACGCTCCACTCCCGAGTCCCCATAGGCACTCGCCTCACCCTAGTCCCCCCGGGAACTCATAGCAAGGGGGGCTTCCCCAGCTGACACAGGCAGCACCCACTCTCCTGGTGGCCTGCGCAGGGCCTGGGGAACCCTGGCCAACATGGCCCTCCCACTGGGAGACACGGCCTCCTGGGGGCCGTTCTATCCCACCGGTGGAGAGACGCCAGGGCAGGACAGCCAGGAGCCAGCCTGCTATGAGGATGATGGTGGGAGCAGGGCCAGACGGAAGAGAAGAGAGCAGAGCAGAAAGGAGAGAAAGCTCTCAAGACAGCAGTCAGGACGGGTGGCGCTCTGCACTGAGACTGGGACAGAGCCGGCCAGGAGAGTGGGGGCAGAGGGCCGTGATGCACCATCGGCGAACGCGGAACACACCTCCATGTCCTACGTCACAACGGGGAAACAGACAATAAGCAATAAATACAGTAGATAGGCCAGGTTAGTTCCTTGAAACATCAACGGGTGGTTTGGAAAAACAGAGCAGGGTAAGGGGTCTGGGAGCGGGGGCTGTCACTTCACGTAAGATGGTCAGGACAGTCGCCCTAAGAAAGTGACAATGGGGCAAAGACGTGAAAGGTTGAGGGAAGGTGGCACGGAAGGCATCACCAGCAGAGGGAATGGCCAGTGCAAAGGTCCTGGGGTGATGCATGTGGGAAGAATAGATGCTGGTCCTATGTGCTCCTTCCCTGTGCACCCATATGCCCAAAACCCTCTCATCTCCCTGGGGTGAGATAACTACAGCTCTGGGAAAGGGAACCTGACCTACCCCAGGTCACTCCGCCCGGGGACGATTTGTTGACTCAGAACCTGAGCTTCTGGGCAGTGGGAAGGAATCATGGAAAGAAAGAGTGCAACGCAAGATGGAAGAGTTGGGGGGAGGATGGACAAGAGCAGGAGCCCCTGGGCCAGGCCACCTCCCAGCTCCGCAACCCGCACAGGTCACCGGGAAAAAACACACCGTTACTGGGAGGCCACCGATGCCAGGAAAACCCTTTCGGAAAACACGGTAGCAACTAGTATCCAGGACCACAAAAAACCTAACCCTCCCCCGGGGGGGCACCCTCGCAGGAATCGCCCCCGGGAGCACCAGAGGGAGGAGGACTTGGCTGCAGTGCCAGCTGCTGCCCTATTTATAACCAAAAACGAACAAAATAACTCCAAAGTCGGGGGTAACCAGACTGTCCTCTCAGCATAAAATCACACCCACAGAAGCAATAAGAAAGTGGCTGCAGTGACATCGGAGAAGCGGCACGGTAACATGTTGGGTCTCAACGCGCCCACCAGCCTGACTTCAAGCCGCGATCTGTACTGGCACAGTTAATGCCAACGCGCTGGGCGGGAACGAAGACTGAACGGGACGCCAGGGAAGGCGACCTTGCCGGGTCTCTGGGTGGACAGACTTGTCCTGTGTTCGCCCCGAATTCTGTTTATGTTGCTACGACGTTATCTGTGCCAATATATTTTTCAGGACCCAAAACAGAAGGGCCAACAGACCAGGTCCGCTCTCCAAGTGTGAGCCGCGGAGACAGCCCGGGGTGACCGCCCAGACCTGCCCTCTCAGACGGCAACGTCTGATCTGAAATGGGGGTGATCGTGGTACCTCCCCTTCAGAGACTATGGGGCGTGACCCGGGCGATTCACCCAAAGGTCCGGCCTAGAAGCGGCACATCTGAAATGTTCAGCGGACAGCAGCCGGGCGGGTAGTACTTCCTCCGTCCAGCCCCAGGCCGGCCCTGCTCCACAGGAATGTGCGTGGACACGGACTCCAGGGGCCTGGCCTCTCGCCATGAGACTGGGGGCAAAACTTCAGAGGCAAGAAATGAGATCCACTCTTAAAAGGCACCCCCGGCCCCGAGCAGACTGAATCCCCCTGCGAAATTCTCCCTTGGTTTAACAAGGCACAGATGACCCTTTCCGTGACCCTGGATGTCCACGGCCCCTTCCTGCCACGACCCTCAGGACACCCCAAAGAGTCCTGTGGGTTCTCTGCACCTCCCTGGTGGGGGACTGGGAGTGGGCCCTCCCACCTGTCCGCAGGCGGTCGGATGTTCCCGGCCCCCCTCGGCGGAACAGCGTCGGACAAAGGCCGTCTCCTTCTCCCTCCTCCCTTGGGGACCAGGACCTGTGACCAATTCCCAGTCCCCACCGCAGTAGGATCGGGAGTCTGAAAACCCAGCGCCTGCCACCGCACGCTACCCCATGTAAGCATATCCAGTATTTATATATAGAATTCATAGCAGATGTCTGGCCGTCATTCCAATGGCTGTATTTTACACCGTTTACATGGTTACACCGAACACAGCCCGCTCAAGGTAACCCAATCCTCTGAGACTCCACCAAAGAAGCAACAGTTTTAGTCCTTGCCTTCCTAATAC